TTTGTGCCTGGGTTGAGATCCAGGTTTTCCTTCCTGTATCTTCTCACACTGGAAAGAATGTAGGGATGAAAGCCCCATGCCTGCACCAGCTCGACCTCTCTACCCTCTGTGAGTTGTGTCAAAGTTGCCTTCAACAATGAGGCCCTGCTGTCAGTTTTCAGAGAGTGATTTTTTGTTCTAGCATCAGCCGGGCTTGTTTGGGGAGCTTCTTGGTCAACAATTCAATATAAGCCACCACTGAAAGACTTGTATGGCTACAAAAGGTGGCCAGTTCGGGCTCTTTATCCTCCATTACTAGGAGTCCTCTCTAGGGTCGCCCTCATAGATTCCAGGAAGTTTCCACTGAGTTACATTTCCACACCGCCCTTCAAATGGCGCCCAACTCCAGCTGTCTCTCCCCACACTTCCTCCCTCCATCCTCCTACCATCATCTGATCCCTTCCTCTCCTGTCCCTACCAGCCCCCAGTCCACACTCAGAATCTATTCTCTTTTCCCTTCCCAGAAAGAAATGCTTACTCAGAATTTTCTTATTCTTCATTTTTAACATTTAGTCATTTCACCAATTTCATTGATTTTAATTGTAATGTACTCATGCATTAAATATTACAGTAGTGGACGCCCTAAACAGTTCATGGACTTAATTAAAGGATAGTTACCCAGAGTACCATGGAAATTGAATCCCCCTCTCCCAGGCCATGCCTATATAGGAGTGGAGATCCCTGTCCTGACTTCCCAACCAGTCCACATTTGAATCTTGAAAAGCTGCTAGACCCAGATAGATTATTTCACACTGGGGAACCCTGATTCTAAGAGTCTAACTTCATCGTAGGGTGGGTGGATAGAATAACCCTTGCAGACACCCTGCAAAAGGAACAGGCTTTCAGAGACACAAGACAGCCACATTCACAGTCTCTTGGATCCACAACAGCAGGCCCAGATCCTAGCAGCTACTGCAAAGGGACACGTTGAAACAAGAGAGGGCAGTCCCTCGGATGTTGGCACTCTAAGCAAGTATCACTATATAGTGATCTTAAGAAGGTATTAAGTGGCAAAGTGTACTGAGGGACAGGGTTCTCATAATGCTGCCCACTGTGAAAGAAGTGGTGTGTAAATCCATATGTATTGCTTGTATTTCCCAAAAGGAAACCACGTAGTGACCTACTTCCCAGCATGGTGACTGGGCCAAAAATGGCATGCTGCGTATTACAAAATATTTAAAACAGAATTGGAAATGTTCTCATCACAAATAAATCATAATACAGAGCTGATTGTCATGGCAAATGCCTTATTCCTAGCACCCGGAGAGAGGCAGACAGATTTGTGTGAATTCAAGGCCAACTTTGTCAACATAGTAAGTTCCAGGACAGGCAGGAATACATAGAAATGATAAAACATTGAAGTTGATGGACAAGCAATGTGCAACTTGATCATTCTACAGTTTTCGAAGGGATCAAAATATCATTGTTCCCCATAAATGTGTGCGATTATTATTTAACAGTTATAAATAAAACTGTCGGCAGTGGTTAGTTTTACAGAACAAGGAGGGAAAGAACATAGGGTATGAGGGTGCAAATGTGCTTCTAAGCCCTGTTCTGTGACATCAGAATCATATGAATTCTTCATATAATTATTAAAAGAAAACAGTCAGGGCTGGGGGTGTAAGTCAGTATTTGAGCCCTAGTACAGAAAAAAAAAAACCCAGACAAATGCAGTCACCAATTATTGAATTATTGCTGGTGTAAGAGAGAATATTAGTGCTAGAAATATATAAGTCATGGAGAACATAGACCCTGATCTCTAAACATAACCAAGACTTCTTTTCTGTCTTGGTTAGAATAGGAATATTATATGTCTCTGCCTTAGAAAATGGATTAAAATGTTACAGAGTTCTTCAATAATATGTGCCTATAGCATAAGCAGAAAGTCTAGCACTTGCAATGGGTGTGTGTGTGTATTTAGTCCACATAAGTGATGTATATGTGTGTGTGTGTGTAATTGGTTGCACAATTTGCACTGATAACGAGACAAATCTACAGAACACCTACAGTAGTTCTGGAGTTCCACTAAGCACATTACCGAGAGCCCCAGAAAAAAACAAAAACAAAACTAGGAGTCCCTTGTCAAGCCTGAACAGGGACTTTAGCACATGCTAACTTTGAGTCACTTCTCCCAGAGTGTACAACCAGGCAACGGTTATGCATTCTCTGTGGGTTCCAGGTCAATACCCGATGACCCTGTGAGTTTTCTCAGAGGGCAGTGGGTCTATCTCAGGATTCAGAGAGGATGAAGTAATAAACTCATGGGCTGCCCAGGTAAACTGACTGGGTCTGACTCCCTGCCTGCTCTTTGCTAGCTACTGATGAGGGGCGACATCCTTGTTTTAGCTTCCTCACATGAACAATAAGCATAATAATAGTACTGACCTTACAACGCTGTTGTGAAAGTTAAAGGAGGGAGATGTATTTAACCCTTAAAGCAAGTAAACACTTAGTAACTGTCACTATGCTGGGTGTCTCCCTGCCTAAAGGGTGCTTGTGTCTAGAAGGTCCTGTGCGTTCAAAGGTAGGCTGGTTGGAGTCATATGCAAGTTGCTAGATCAGTGTGTGTGCAAATCCCCTTCTGCAGGGCTCCTCTCCAAGAGTCCAGCTGTGTGCATCTGTGTGCATCTGGCTGGAGAGATTAAATTATTTCTGAATTCCTAACCGAATGTTCTTTTAATGGAAACTTAATGACAGACATTGAGATAGATTTCCTCCCGAAGCCCTCCTCCTGCACGCCCCCCACATGACTCTGTGTTGCGCAGTTCCCGATAACCTTTATTCCCTACCCCTGGACTTTTATCTCCCGAGTGACATGCAGCCCTTGCTGGACAGAAAGAGGAAATTCCAGTCATTGTTCTTAAACTTCTGGCTTCCAAAATAAAATGCTCTATCTCCCCTGTCAAGCTTTGATTGACACACACTTCCTGTAATGGCAGACAGCAACGGCCCAGGGGTGGGGCCTAGGCTTCATTTGCATTCTTGCCATTAGAAGTTTCCCTATTGTTTGTTCTAGGAAGGGATGAGTCTCCACATCAGTCACAGAAGCCTTGTTGAAGACTCATTTCTGGGTTTAAGAAAAACCTCCAGAAAGAGTGTGGCCTAAGCCTTCCTGCCATGAACTCACAAAGTTTATCCCTAATATTATTATTGATGGAAATGGACACTCTGATCATCTCATTATGACTGGCCCGGGGCGTCTCTTCTTTCTGCCCTTGAGCCACCCAAAGCTTCGCTCTAAATATTGACTAGCTAAGTTCAAATGGGATCCAGCTCTCCGTGCCAATATCCTTATAGCAACAGAGATAAATTGGGCAAGTCAAGAGGGATCAGCACCAAGGAAAATTCTGAATAAAACATTGTACCACAGGTGTTACAATAGGAATAAAGAATAATTGGGTGGGACTGTGGGTTGCAGGTTTCTGGTCCTGGACTGGGACCGCGAAGACTGTGGTCCTGGGATGGCAGGTGATGGGCGGCAAGCGGATGGGGAAGCAGGGACCTGTAGACATGAGTCATAATGGAAGTTTTGTTGAGGGAAGGGAAGAGAATAAGGTAAAGAGACACAGAGACGGAAAGAGGACTGGAGAAGAGGGAGACAGGAAAAGTCCAGTCATCCCCAGGGGAACAGCAGGCAAGAAAGCATAAGTGGGCAGAGGTTTTTCTTTAAAAGGGGTCCTTTGCACCTACGTGCACACTAAGTAGCCATGGAACCCTGGGCTGACCAGGGTACTGCCTGAGTGCATTCTGCCAGGTGACAGGGGCAGGCCAGCGTAATGCCTGAATCGTTACAATAGCATGCAGTTTTTCTTAAAGAAATTCAGAATTTCTTTTGAATGGGATAAACAGCAAATATAGTAAGACGCAGCATGCTAATAAGTAATAGCAGTTCCAAGTTGGTCAGGTCCTACATGGAAAAGGCTTTCTGTGCTGGAACAAAGAACTGACATTTCACCCTGGCATTCCCCTACAACCCAGTAGGCCTGCCCATGCCTTCGGCTTCCCATTTGTTTTCTTTCCCCGCTGGTCTTTGTGCCATTGTTACAACTCTTTCTCCAGTGCCCGATGTTTTTAATTCTGGTTTTGAGCTCCAAGCACTCCTGAGAACCCCCAAAGAGTTGTCTGCCCCGGATACCTCACTTCCTGACAGCTTAATGGGATGTGTATAATGGATCTAGCAAATTTGTATTAAAAAGGAGACTCCAAGTGCAGAGTTCTTGGGTTCTGATAAAAGAATATTTAGAAGCAACCCGGAAACATTCCAATCAGAGTAGCATCGATCAATTCCCTTAACACTCAAAAGGGACGGTTTGCTCCTAAAGCACTTCCAGCAGTCCCCAAGCATACTGCCAGGGAGCAGAAGCGAGCAGAGTAGTAAGTTCTGAGTGTGTGCCCTTAATGAATACCATTCCTGCTGGTTTATAAATGGCTGCAGAGTGGTAAGGCCTCCTGTCCACGGGCCAGCAGAGAATTCCAGCTCCCCTGGTCTTATCATACCTGATTGCTTTTAGCTTGGTCAGCAAATCATGTCATGGATTCAAAGATTCACAAGCACAGAGTAACCATCAGTGTGGGACAGATGTGTTCCCCATTGTGGCCACTGACAAGGTGTGCAACCTTAGCCCCATCAGTTTCCACTGGTCAGGACCATGACAAGTGTGAGTATATATAGATCTGTGCAAACTCAGCCCCTAGTCGAGAAAAACAAAGCCATCCCTACTGACAAGGGTTTGTAGCTGTCTTTATCTTCACCAAGATTCACGCTGGAGAGATGTGCTGTAGCTGGACCAGAAGGGGCGTGTCTGCAGCCTAGCTCCTTCCCTCCTAGGGAGTGTAGACAACAAATGCTTGTAGTTTGCCTCCTGCCTGTTTCACCCCCTCCAGGAGAAAGTCTCCCTTGGCAAGAATATTTTCCTCAATCATCCTGTCACAGTTAATGCATAGGTGACACTTTTTGCTCATGCAGTTTTGGAAATTTATTAATCACATACTGAAAATATTCTGATTTTAGAACAACTTTTGAATTCCACTTTATTTTTCAAAGTGTGTCCAGAATAATACAGGTGGGGAAATGAACAAGCAAGACATTCCCATTAGAAAGTTCCTTCGAAGTAAATTCTCCTGCTAGATTGTTCCCTTTGGAAGATGCTGAGATGGCCTTCGGAAGAGAGCAGCGTGCAGACTGTGAAGTTGTGCCTCATCCCCTCCTCCTTCATACCTAGAATTTCAGTTCAAGCACTGAGCAGAGAAACACAAGAACTGTTCAGGGTTAGCATCACACCCCCCTCCAGGTTGACTGCTTTCACAGTCATCTTGAAAGAACAAGGAATAAAAACTCTTTTTAACAGACTTGTAACCCTATAACCCATTCATTAAATATTAAAAGAAATATCACCACAGATCTCCCCAGCCCCATGTGTGGGTGTGTGCATGTGTGTAGATCAGTAGATCAAAAGTTGACATAAGATTTCCTCCTCAGTCATTCTCCACCTTATTTTTTTTATTGTATTTGTATGGTGTTTTGCTTGTGTGTATGTCTGTGTACCTGGTACCCATGGAGGCCAAAAACTAACATCAGATGGAGGTATAGATGGGTGTAAAACACCATGCTGGTGCCAGGAATCGACTCTGGGTTCTCTGGAAGAACAATCACAGTACTTCTAACCACTGAGCCTTTTCTCCAGGCCCTTCACATTTTTTTAAACAGTCTCATTGAGCATAGACCTCACCCATTCAACTGGCCAGTAAGTCTCGGACATCCTCCTTTGCCTACCTCTCCAGTACTAGAGTTATGGGGCATGCTACCAAGTAAGGCTTTTCTTGTGGTTGTTGGAGGTTCAAACCCAGGTCCTCATGCTTGCATGGCAAGCTCTTTACAAACTGAGCCACCTCTGCAGTTTTAACACCAACACTTTCAACTCAAACATTCTCCTTTGCAGGAGGATGTTCATTCAGCATCCAGAGAATGGACTTGGCCTCTGTTTAATGTACCACAGGAGATCATTCAGGCCAACTTCTGTATGGACCACAGCATTTGGATAAGTCATAAAACTTGTTGGGCCCTTCCTGTTCCTCTTTACCTTCGGTTCAGAAAGATGCAGAGTTACTGGATGACACTTTACCCCTTGTGAAACATGTGATCTAGACTCAGATGAAGGCTTCAAACACAAGAGCTTGAGAAGGCTAGAGCCTTTTTTTCATTCTTTGTATGACAGTCTCTTATTGTCAGTGATCAGTTGGCTCACTTCCCCCAACTCAGGGGACAGATTTTCTGTTGATGAAAGTCTATTTTGAGATGAAAGTGGCCTTCTTCTAATCCATAGAATCAAATGGGAAATATGGCTAGTTCCCAAAGCTATGTAAAGATCCTAACAGCTTTCAGGAGTCTTGTAGAAGTATCTCCATTGCCTGTCCATGTGACCTTGGATGACTTCCTTCCCATCAACACTATATGAGTTCACACAGTCATAGTGAAGATTCCAAGTGAATTCCTATGGCTTCCACATGCCTGTTTAAGTCACATGTGTCCATCATATGCTTACTGCTAGTACCTTGTAGAACTATGAGTCTTGTAGAGTCATAGCCCTGGGGTTCAAGGATGACTATGCTGGTAGACTTTGTAGCTTCTCATCCTGCATCCACACCCCAACTGTTGGTTGCTTCAGAACACAGCTAGCCATTGGGCTCACAGAAGGCATTTTGCGAGTGAAAAAGCCACTGCTACATTTGGGTATCATCTGTTTCATCAACTTCTGACAAGACAAAGTTAGGGTTGTCATAGCCTCTCTTCATCCTGGCTCGGGCATCTTTCTCATTATAAAGGCACAAGGCACAGTGAGGGGTTTCAACTTCCACTGTCTTACCAAAGTTATGGAAATCCACTCGGTACTTCCCCTCCTTGGTCTTGGATACTATGGGGACAAAACGGTAGCCCCAAAGCACCTCCTCAGGGACATATGATGTGCGGACCTGGCAGGTTGCACTGGTAGATTCCACTGTGCCATCTAAAAAGACAACTAACTCAAATTCCTGCTGGGGAAGCGTTTCTGCTGCCATGTGGAAGAAAGGACTGTTGTGGTCAATGACATGGTAGATTGTCAGCGGGGAAATGAAGAACAAATTCTCATTACCAGCATCAACTATGAAGTTGATATTGGTCTGATCCAAAATAATGGTTTCTCCTTCAGGAGTGATGGTAGTTTTCAGAAGTTTGCCATATATGTGGCTGCCAATCAGAAGGCTCTTCCTAAGATTGGCCACTCGGATGAGGAGGCAGAGTTTCCCACCACGCTTGCTGATGACCGCATTCTTGCTGAATGTAATGGTCTTGGCACGTTTTTTGGGTCTAGAGATCTTGGCTAAGATGGCACCACACATGAAAGAATTGACGATCACTCCAAGAATGGACTGGAAGATAAGTAGGAAAATGGCAGTGGTACACTGTTCCGTCACAAACCTGAATCCATAACCTATGGTCACTTGAGTCTCCAGAGAAAACAGAAAAGCTGAGGTCATGCCATTAATGTTCTCCACACAAGGAGTATGATTGCCTGGTGGGTAGAACTCTGGGAGGTCCTTATGAACGTAGGCTACCACATACCACAGGAGACCGAATAGGAACCAACTCCCCAAGAAGGCTGTGATGAACACGGTCATTTTGTACCTCCATTTGAGGTCAAGAACAGTTGTCCAGATGTCCACAAAGAATATAAACCTTGACTGCGCATCTACATTGCCAAACTCTATGTTACACCTTCCATCTTTGGAGACCAGCCTTGCTCGTTGCCGCGAACGCCCAAAAATGTGAGTGACAAACCATTTCCGAAGATGTTTGAACATTCTCTCTGTCAGTGCCCTGATCTGAAAACACATCAAAGGGGTGGGGGAGGGGTAAGATTACAGTTGTAGCAGTGATGATGGAGGTGACTCATACAGACTCTGCTATCTCCGAAAAGAGTATTCAACTCATCAAGCTTGTTAACCATTAGCACAAACCAACTAGTTTGTTCTGGGTGACATAGCCGCTATGTCACATAGAAAGTAGAGAAGACACCACGTGGAAAGTTACAGCTAGCATGTTCAAGTATTTCCTGACCTCAATCAGTCCACAGGGCCTTAAACATGGGGTTAGCCATTATAATCTGAAGTTTTACTTATTGGATATTATTACACAAATCATCTCCTCTGCATTAAAATTTAACCTGTGGCTAAACTATAAGTTTGGAGCACTATTCACATTTTTGTGATATATAAAAGTATAAATAACTGAAAAAGGAAATTCATCAATATATCCATATAGCCTCTAAATTGTCTTGTCTGCTCTACCAATACATCAAGAGACATCCTGATCCACCTTAGTTCCTTTCTTTCTTAAATGAAGGAACTAAGACTGAAAACATTTTCATAACATCTCCAAAGACATACTCCTAACACATGCCCACCAACTCACTGCCTTCATTCTGGGACAACTGAAGTCCTGTTTTGGCTCATTTGTCAAATACTCTACCCTAAAGCTGTGCTTCCCTAGAACACTTGAAGACAAGACCAGTTAAATTCCTCTTGACTTTTTAGCAAAGCTCACAGCCCAGCAGGTGATCTCCCAGCTGTCTGAGAATCTGCATGCCTGTCCCTGCTTACTCCCCATGTTCTGCCAAAATTTCTAACAGAAACGGAATGAGGGTGGCCATTGGTATTCCACATTCCCTCAACTGGGCTCCAAGCTGATGAACTCTGAGTTCATGTATGTTCAATGAAGGTTGAACCATGCATGCTTAACTCATTCCTAGGTCTCACCTGCTAGTTCAGACTGACTGAGTGATTACCACTCTCTCCATCAGATTCAGTGGTATAATACTGGATTAGGCCCTTCAGAACAAAGTCTGTTCACTGATTTCTTATCAAGCACAGGTATGTGAGAGAGAGGGGGGTTCAGAAGGAGGGAGGAAAGGGAGGAGAGAGAGAGAGAGAGAGAGAGAGAGAGAGAGAGAGAGAGAGAGAGAGAGAGATTTCCAGCAAAACAGTGATGGGGCTTTCCCCTAAACAGCCAACAGCAGTGAAACTCAAGGGTCTTAAGCCTAGAATACCTCTTCCTCTTCCCCCCCACAAAACAAAATCAAGGTGTGCCCATTGTGGTTAGCACTGTCTTTGTGGTATTTTTTTATTAAATGCAAACATATTTTTAAAAATAGATCTCAAACTTCCCCCTTGAAAAATGTGTTTGCTCTTAAGAAGTAGGAAGCGAAACCAGCTTAGTGACACATTTTAAACAAAAGCAGTATTCCTCAGTGTCTTGTTCCCAACTTTAACCCAGGTGAGAATACAAGAGGCTGCACCAAGTAGAAGCAGTAGAAGAAACACACAGCCATAGTGGTGGTGGGAAATGTAAAGGCCGGGCTCTAAAATAAGAGCAAGAAAGTTACCAAGAGAGCCACAGAAGCTCTGCACACACTCAGAGAACTCTGTCCACCCCTCACTGGCGGGGATGGCCCCAGGGGAGACACACAGGCAGGGCAAAGGCTCCTTCCCAGGTTACTCCCCCCCCATTTACCCCTGCACCTAGGTGTAACCTGGCCAACAGTCTTTGATGACAGATGCTCCTGCCCAGGTTCATGGAAGCTGGCCTTCCTCACAGGCTGGCTGTCACCTGTTACCAGTTCTAAGACCAGCACTACCCATGGAACCCATATACTCTTCACCACATATTAGAATTTAAGATGACTTCTGAAGCATCAAATTCAAAGCTTTTCGTCCCCTCCCACCATCCTCCAACCTTTCTAAAATTTGCTTCACTTTGAAGGTGAAGGGTATTTCTGCAAAGTGAAGACGTCCCCAGTAAGTTTGGGTTCTCTATGACTGTGCTAGCAAAATAAGACATTCCTGACCTTCCTAGTGGTGAACAGGAGCAGCCAGCAGCCCGCATTGCTTTCTGCAGACTGTCTGCACTTACCAGCACTCTGAACACACTCCGATCTGAAGCATCCATGGTGGGCAAGGCAGGGAAGTGGTGCTGTTGGGAGTTGTCTGAATGAAAGTTGACGTCTTTCATACCCAGACTAATGAATCTTAAGCTTCAGAATGATGCTAATTTGGATTAGCTCTCAACAGTTAACGAGTGGAGTTGTGTGGTTTAAACTCACACAAATGGTTGTACTCAGACCAAGCCTGGAGCTAGGTGTATATATATATTTTTTCAAACCTCACATGGCTTGAATACCGTCATGCTAAGACATGACAAACCATCAGCTGAGGTCCTGGGCAGCAGACGTGGATTGGATCCCAGCATGGCCCCCCTCTCCTTTGCTACGCTCTATAGCTCTCTTGCTGTTCTCCTAAGTCGTGCCAAATAACTTTTGACTAGAAACAATTAGTTATCATCAATCTCCCAGTCAGCTTTCTGAAACATACCGAATACTAACCTTTCCAAGTGGTCAAAGATACATACAGTTGGATGGAGAGACACAGACGGGGACACGTTTGCAAGACAAGAGTAAGATCATACAAGGAAGAAACAAGATACCACATTAATCTCTCTATACAACAGTCACTGTTATGTAAGAAACTGAGATGTTATTGTGGGGTTTCATCTGGAAAAACTGGACTTTGCTGGAGGTGCACTTTACACACACTGGATTAGCGAATGGTGTTGATTTGTTTATTGAAAGAGTCAGGAGAACTAAGGAAGCAAGTAAATCCATCCACAGACCAAACCAATCATTCACATGGTCGCTCTGCTGTCATGTAGATCCCACTTTCCTTGGACCGTGCCATTTAATCTAACCACAGACAGAGACGATGTGCATTTATGAACGACTGAGCAATTAGAGATTATCACTGGTGTCTCAGGTTATATAATGTGCCCCAGCTTTTAGGTTCCTTTCTATTGAAATCAGTAAATAAATCTTAATAGCAAGCAAAGGGCTGCACATTAGCTAATATTTACCCAGGTATCCTTGGTAGCTGGCAAAACAAGTGGATTGCATTATTGCCACTTGCTCTTTGTGCCCTAGCATTCTTGTTCTGTAAATAGGACATTTTCAGAAAGCAAGACTTTCCCTAATGTTTCCTGCTCATTGGCTGTCTGCTTATCCCTTAGGATCTGAAAGATAAACACAACTCTTCCTGTTCTCAAGGGGCTCACGGTCAGATGGAGAGGTGAGCTGAGGCTGTTGGAACTCAGGGTGGTTTGTGTTAACCCCAGAAGTCTGACTTTTCCATAAGATTTCCTATTAACTATGGATCTGCCCTCTGAGGATGTGTTTTAACCAACTGCAAACACCTTTCTGTATATATTAAACATATTCATCTCTTGTTAGTCCATAGAGATATGCTGACACCACTGTGTGTATCAGCCACTGTGTTGATATCACAGAAGTAGTGGCTGCTTGTCTTTGTCAACATGCATCTCCCAGGTGGCCTAAGGGAGAGGAACAGATGAGTCCATGAGCAAACAGACATAGAGGACTGTCACTGTGATATGAAACATGAGGCACCCTCCAGGGAACACCTATTGGAAACGGAACAGTGACACAGAATCCAACCGCTAAAGATGTGTTGGAGCCACAGGTAGCAAGAACTCCAAAAACAATTGCTGGGTTATGATAAATAAATAGATGGATGTGTTTGCAAACGCTGAGAATTGATGGTTACCCACACTGCTCAGTAGCCATCAGCTCCTCCTCTGGGAGAGCAGTTTTAAGAGAAGTCCTGCATAAGATGTGTAACAGTGACTACCCTGCATTTAACTGTGTGTCTGTGTGTGTCTCTGTGTGTGTGTGTGTGTGTGTGTGTGTGTGTGTGTGTGTGTGTGTGTGTGTGTGTGTGTGGCCCAGGCAGGAGCAACAGAAGAAAAATAAGCCCATGGAAAAAGAAAGAAGACTCAGGATAACACATGCTAGAGTGCTAAAGGGCTTTGATACAACCTAGGGCTGGAAATTCAGGCAGGAGCCAAGCCACTCAAGGCTAGGTAGACATTTCTGTCTTTGCTACACCCATCCTATCACAGCTCCAGAGACAATCCATACTTCTAAGTCAGCCTGAAACGCTTCTCCGTTAAGGTCCTTGAAAGCAAATGCAGCTTCCTCCAGAGCAGGCTTGTCACCCTAAAAACACACTCTTCATTTGCATGCAGCATCCACTCCAGCAAAACTAGCTCTTCCTACTACTAAGAACCTAAACGCAGAGGTTGTTTTGGGGCATCCGCCCAAGAACACTTGTCACTCTGCCCCCTGGTTGCCCAGTGACCGCTGTGTAAGAGAGATGAGGGTCAATGCTTGTGTCCTCTGAGTTGAAAATACAGGGGTGACTGTGCCCTCTTCTCAGCTCCTATATACGCTCAGCTAACTCTGGGGTATTTCTGGAGTCAAGTTCTTATATTAGGGTAGGAAATGTGAACTGGGTGATCCAAAAGCAGATGTCAAATGATTTTCTCTAATCCCTTGGTAACTCTGATGCAAAAGAACGTCAAGTTTCTATGAAATTGGTCAGCCTTATCACAGACCAAGAATCAACTGAAGCCAGCAAACGTCTCCTGGCCTTCCGCATGCACCCCTGGCACTGTGGGGCATCCTCTCTGCTATCTTAATCAATAGACCTGAGCACAAGCTCTGCTTATTGACCACCTACTAAGTACCAGGTGCCATGATAGGAACAAAGAAGGAACCGCCCTTACTTTGCAGCTGCTCCTGGAGAAGTCAGTCGGTAATTGTCATGCACTGAACCAAAATGGTACCCATGGAGTTGTATGTCAAGCTTGACCTCTGGAGCCCATCTTTGCTAAAGAGTCAAAAAAAGAAAAGAAAAAGAAAATGCAATGGCTTCTATAGAGGACTTCCTCTTTTCTGTGGAAATCATCTCAGAATGGCTGAGAAGATCCCCCCAGATAGATCTGCAAACCTAAAGAGCCTGGGGATCCCCAAATCACCTGAGTTTCTGGGCTGCCTCCCGTCTGTCCAGGGTCCACAGAGAGGGAGACCTTTGTTTGGGCATGTCAGAACTTACCCTGACATCCTTGGCAAAACTGAGCGTCTAGCTAATTTAGAGTAGAACTTGGAGTTGGATTCACTCCTTACCTTATCAGCCTTATATCCTAGGTATGTGCCCCACGCCTTTGCCAGGCTAGACTGGGTAATACGTGGAAAAATGGGTCACGGTTGAGAAGTAAGTGTGCTTCATGACCTTTCCCTCAGGAAACTGGAGTAGCCTCTCAGGGGTGTAAATGCAGCATAGGCTTTCCAGGGTCTCTCTCTCCTTCCAGAAGGGGCTTGGGAACAAGCTGGAAAGAACCACATGGTCTGGTGGTATCAGTGCCTTCACAGGCATGCAGTGCTGGGGTGTCTCAGGGCCATCTGCTTGCAGCCCCATTATCTAATGAGCTGGTGTGCTTTGCATGGGAAGTTTTAGGGAGATAGGAGACCTGGTCCAAGAATGTTTCCAGAATAGGCAATGACCAGAAACAGCTTGGAAATGAAGAAGTATTCCAGCTTATATCCACAGGCCTGGACTTGAATTCCAGCTGTGCCACTTAGTGACCAGGAGAGCAGAGCAAGTCACCCAGCTTTTCTGAGCCTCAGTTTCCTCATCTGTGAGATGGCTCTAATACTATCCTTCCAAAATGTCATGTAGCAGAATATACAATTCTCTAGAGCATATGACAGTGACGATATGTATCGATGGTTCCCAAACTGAAACCAACACAACAGTTAAGCCAAATGCCACGGACTCTTGTTCACCATGGACTATCACGTGGTCAAACTGTAACTTCACCAAAGGACAACACTCCTTAAAGGGAAGAGAAAGATTCTGGCCACATGCTACATCTATGAATGATGCTGATAAGAGGAGGAGCAGGCCTAGGAAAAGCAAAGATGATCATGAAGGATTGGTCAATAACAAAAGCAGAGCCTTTTCTTAGCAAGGCTGCTGAGAGGCCTGGTACCGAGGCACAATGCTGATCTTGCTGCCATAGCAACTGACAAGAGTGTGATCAGCATCACTGCCGTGTACACTTGTTCTCTGAAAAGTCAGTCTCTTGCCTGGTACCCACAGTCAGGTTCTGTTGGGCAGAAAGAGTCACAGACGTCATCAACAAAAGCATTCTCTTCACCCTAGGTCTGCAAGCATAAGGACCTAAGTTCAAATCCCCAGCACCCATGTAAAAAAAATCCAAGCAAGTAACTCAATAACCTGAAGGTTTTTAGGTGGAGATTGGCTGATACCTGGAGCTCAGTGACTAAACTGTGAACTATAAATGGTGAAAACTAACACTCTTGATGCAGAAGTCATGTGTACATGCACCACTCTGCATAGGTTTGCTTTGCTATGAAGATGGTAAGACCTGTTCATGGAAGCTACTAAATGGTACACAAAAGGTCATTGCAATGATTCAAAGTCTGCAAGTTCAGGCTTTAGAGGCTGTCTAGATGACGTGTTTGGGGGTGGGGGCTCACTGTGCATCCTGAGAGGATCACCAAAGATCTCTGCTTCAGGCCCCAGTGGGAGATTCTGGGAACTCTGCCATCCCTTTTGATGAGCCAGGCTGGGAACAAAGTTGAACTCAGGGAAGACGTCAGTGGGGTATCACCAGTCTTTGGCGGCAGCACATGCTTGCTGTGGTGGATGGCAACGGTGTGGATGCTGGGAACTTCTCCTGTACGGCTTCCCAGCAGAATTCCTAGGGCAACCGTTTCTTCGGGTCCTTTGGAAATGGTGGCATGTACAGCCTTGCAGAGGACACCTGGTCTCTGCTTTGTCCAGAGTTTTTAGGAGGAGCACCTCCCCAGAGTCTGTGAAGATGGCGGCAGAGAATACACCTCCCCCACTGGGAAGTTGGGGGGATATGAGAAACTGGCAATCATACAGTGGTAAGTCCCAGGACGCCACCAAGAATTTTCTTAACCATCTTCCCATCTAGACCCAAGAGCACAGTGATTTACAAAGGAAAACTTTGCTGTATTGCCTGTAAGTAGACTGAGCCTGAGCTGACAGGGGAAGAAAGTTCAAAATGGAGAGTCTTGTCCCAAAATGGATGATATAAAGCCCCCCAGCCTTAAAAAGTGAGAATGTGGGAAGAGTGACAAAAAGGGACCCCAGGAGGTTTCTCTATCCAGCAGATCACTCCAGGAGACACTGCTGTATGCTGTGTGTACAGCACCCCCTGGAGCACACAAGAGGAACTACTTAGAGACTTCTTGGGGCCCCAAAGCCAAGCACAGACACCAAAGCCCTATACTTGTATCAACTGCATTTAGATTTCTTAGCAGTTCTGAGAGTCTGAGAACTAAGATCCAGAGATGTTATGCCACTTGCTCAGGTCACAAAGCAGAAAAACAAGCATAAAAATTAGAAGGATCTTAGTTTTGAAGCCCCACAGCATGCTCGGAATAGCTGCAAACAGCTAGAGAAGGCAAGCATGCTTTCAGCAGCTGCTCACTGTGTGTGTGAAGGCATGTTTCCTTGCTGTGTGAGGAATCACTCAAATGGCCAGAGTCAGCAAGAGATAAAGATGGGAGCTCTGATTAGTGGGGAGATAATGAGTTTTGGGGTCAAGGAAGAGCCTATGCAAGAAGAAGGATATGAGGGAGTGTTCAATGGGGAGTGTTCACAGGGCACATGGCACATTGGATTGGATCCCAAGGTCACAGGTTTCACTAGATGTGCCATTCAATGTCCTAGACAGCTCAGAAATGCTCAAAATGCCAGCAGCACTAAGAGGTAACTATGGATGTAGGTGAAGACTTGACGTCATCAAAACTCTGCTTCTCCAGGTGGTGGTAGCACACAGCTTTAATCCCAGCACTCAAGAGGTAGAAGCAGAAAGATCTCTGAGTTTGCGGTCAGCCTGATCTAAAGAGAGAGTTCCAAGACAGCCAGGGCTACACATAGAAACTCTTGTCTCTGGGGAGAGAGAGAGAGAGAGAGAGAGAGAGAGAGAGAGAGAGAGAGAGAGACAGACAGACAGACAGACAGACAGACAGACAGACAGACAGACAGACAGAGACACAGAGAAAAGGAATGAGGGAGGGAGGGGAGGATGGAAGGAAGGAAGGAAGGAAGTTAGTTCTCCTTCCTTCTATAGCTTATATGGCTTGAGCTGGCATAGGCAACGACCTGCAGCTGAAGGAACAGTGTCCCCCATTCGCAGATGTCAATAGATGTCTACAGGCTTTGTGCACCTTATTCGGGTCGCAGTTCAGTCTGATGGTGAGGAAGAGATCTTGAACTGCCCAACACACAGACCACTGCCTAGAGATATGGGACAGCTCCCTCCAGAATCCTGGGTACAACCCTAGGCAGACAGGCCAGGCCAGACTCTTCCACACAGAGAGAGCCAGAGGAACCACTCTGCCTCTCATGAAATTAACTTTGACTCAAATTCTCAGACTTGGTCTCAGCCCAGGGCTTTCTGAGAGTACCTGCCCTAACAGTAAATTCTGGTTCCTAATAAACTTAGGATTGAAAGTTAAATCAACTCAACGATCCAGAGGCTTTCCTGGTCTAATGACCTTCGATTCTTATTTCTGTTAAGCAGAGAACATCTACACTGGAGGCGTCTGGGTATATAGTTTTACACTGAAAGCAGTATATGTTCTCAGCAGGCAGTATGAGGGAAGAAACTGTGAAGAAGTCATATTACACACACAGGAGGATATTAGATATTTCAAGGAATCCTAGAGTGGATTATTTTATGAAGTGAAGAGCAATTTTTTGCAAATCAAATAATCACGGAGCACTCGTGTAACCCATAACAGTGCATGTTTGGGTGGAGGCTGTTCCTCTGGAAACTGGACACATCTACAATGACACTATTCTTAAATTTCACATGTCAAGCCACCCACCTCAAATGGCACGCCAATTCCATGAAAGAATCTAAATGTTTATAAAAGCTCGTATTTATTATGTGCACACAAACCCTGCTATTAGCCCGACCCTTCTAGTTCTCTGTGGTTTGGGTTGCTATTACATCAACTCACTCCTTTCAGCCCAGAAATAAATGAATTCCATGTGAACGAGAGCCCCGAAAACTGTCTGCGACAAACAAGACTACATGCTCTGCTTTAAGGAAAACATAGAATTTCCAGCCTTGACATTACTGAGAAGGGTAGCGGCCCACTAAGGTCTGGGGAGGAGGAACACGGAAACCGGTATGTCCTGCGTCCACAGGCAGTGGCTGTCTCAGCCCAGCCTGATGCACACACAGAGCTGGCGGTCTTCGGCATCAGCGCCTGTGTTTGGAGGGGTGCGTGGGATGCCTTCTGGTCCTGTGTTCTAGCTGATGGTGTATATTCTCATCAGGTCGCCAGACTAGAATGTGACAAGTGGGTTTGAGGACTTGAACCTAAAGGTAGTCACTTATTTGCTTGAACACTGGGTGCTGCGTAACCACTTAGTGAGTCAGCTTCCTCAGTTGTAAAATGGGGACGTTCGGGTGTACCATATAGACAGACAGACAGACAGACAGACAGACAGACAGACAGACAGACAGACAGAGCTTCAACAACCCTGGGGATAGGAAGCAGTGGAGCCTAAACTTACCTTACAAAGTCCTGCCAGTCCTGCCACTCCTGCAGGAATAGAAGGCATGGGAGGGACAGACACAGGGGCACCATTGTCTATGCAGCCTTTCACTCTGGGCTCCTGTGGCCCATGTCAGGTGCACTGTATAACACTTCCTGAAGGGTAAAGAGAAGGACACAGCTTGAGGTGGCCCATGGAATAACTGGGGACCAGTCTTCCTGGAGCTTCTAGTGCTGTGCCCCGGGGAACATTCAAAGGTCAATGATTACCTCTTTGGGCTTGAGCTCTGCCAAGGCATCAGTTACATTAATGGGAAGGCACGTCATCTACTCTTTCACATTAAGGAGCTCTCTGGGAAAGCCCTGGGGCCAGAAGGAAGCAGAGTTGGTAGTCTCTGTGACCCTGTAATTCCATGCCACCCAGTCATCCTCCACACATGCTTGGTTCCCATCTTCAGGGGTCTTCTTTTGGGTAGGCACAGTCCACACAGGGAGCCCTCTTAGGATGGTGACATCATCACAGAGCCATCCCACCCCATTCCCTCCAGAACTACGAAATATTTCATTCATCCTTGTATAAAAAAACATGGCCTATTCTTATGTCTGTCATTGAAATGAAAAAGTCAAGCACAGGGGACATCCCCCCAGGATTCATGGCCAAGTCAGGGTTGGCAAACAGCCCCACGGCAGCCCCAGCTCCCAAGAGACCAGTAGAGCCTACAGCAGGCAGTAGCTGACGCACATTCACCCATGCCTTTCCTCCCTCTCTGGGTACAATGACCTGGAAAGGGTAAAGAAAAGTCTGTTTCCTCTCCTCCTATTCACTCTTGTTCTTCTATCCTGATCAAAATGAATGGAGAGAAGCTCCTCAGCTTCAGACCTCACTAGGCTGCAAATTTTTCCGAGTTGGCTTTGTTATAAGAAGGATTACATGAAATGGATCCATGTCCTGCACAAGCACTCACCCCAGATGCTTATAGCAACTTTATTCATTACAGCTTAAAAGAGGAGGCAACCCTACATGTTTTCACTCACCAGTAAATAAGATGTGACATGCCTATAGAATGGAATATTGTTTATCCCCACAAAGGAATGATGGTCTAATGTAAGCTACAACACGACCAAACTTTGACAGAATTACACTACACTAAGGAGGCCAGATATTCTACGATCCTTTGCAAGAAATGTTTGGAATAGTCAAATCTATACAGAAAGAAAATTAGACAAGTGGCTGCCCCAGATACTGGAACTACTATAGGTAGATCTTTAGAGGTTGTTAAAAAAAGGTTTTAAGATTGATTGTGGTAAAAGTTGTATAGCTTTGTAAATGTTATTAAAACAAATGTAATATTAAAACAAAACAAGAACACTTCTGATGGTGGGATTGTAAAATGGGAGTTATATCCTGCTAAAGCTGAAAATGCACATGAAAGTGCCTGCAACATGGTAAGGATGCAACAAACTTCCTCCCATCTCCACCCAGCTTCTGTTCCTTCAGCGTTGGTGGAACCTCAGGTGACACTTCTACCCTTTGGCTACTTGACCTAGAGCACAGAAAGCATTATTCTGGGCATCATCCTTCCTATGCTTCCTGGCTATAGAGGCATTTGTTCTCCTATCTGTGTTCTCCCAACCATGGTCAGAGAGGGTGTCAGGTCCAGCAGAGGAAGTGGAGTCCTAGATCCCCATTCGGCTACACTGGATGGATTATGGTATAGAATTTCAACTCCGGGATGCTACTCCTCAACATCTCCAGGGCTGTTAGCTGGGGCTTCAGCTCCTATTAGCATATCAGGGCCAGCTTTGTGGGGTCCTGAACAGCCCATTATAGGCGGGAGGATGTTCTCAGGACCTTGGCCTGGTCACTGTACCACATGTAGGCTTCACACAAGAGTGCTTGCAACATCCTGCTGCACACATCATCACCTCTGGTACTTTGTCTTCCTGCTCTTGGTCATTTAGCACTTCTACCATAGCTAGTACTTCGTTCTTTGCCCACAGCTCTTGTATTCTGGAGTCAGCATCATTAGTCTTCTATTCCCATGGAAGTTAGCCTCTCTAAAGAGTCAATGATAACGCAAAGACAACCCCAGAGTCCACAGGACCACTTAAAACTCTTCCTTGAGACTGGAGAAATGACTCAGTCATTAGAGAGTTTGACTGCTCTTCCAGGGGACCCGACTCTAATCTCCATAACCCACATGGAAGTTCAGAACCATCTGTAATTCCAGTCCCAGATATATATCACCTTCTTCTGGTCTCTGAGGGACATGTACATAAGCAAAACAGTCATACACACAAAATAATAAAATAATTTTTGATAAACTAAAAAATAAGAAGAGAAATCTGAAGTGTCCCATAGTTCCACCACTCCATCGCCGTCTCTGCTGCTCACCCCCACCCAACAGGAGAGAAAAGGGCTAGTGAATGAGACCTCGCTGCTCCAGAGAGTAACAACTAGCAGAAAGACAGCATAGAGTCCAGGCTTGGGATCAAGTAAAGGACGACAGGATCTGAGTCCTATGGAGCTTGACCCCTTGAACAAAAGCAGGGCTGATGTCCTTGCACGCTTTCTGAGGAGTGTCATGACCAACAGCCGGCAGTAATGTCCTGGACCACCACTCTGTGCTCAGTTTTCAACCTTTAAAAAGAGAATCCTTGGGCAGGGCATGGTGGCACACGCCTTTAATCCCAGCACTCAGGAAGCAGAGGCAGGTGGAACTTTGTGAGTTCAAAGACAGCCTGTTTTACAAAGTGAGTTCTAGTACAACCAGGACTACAAAAAGAGACCCAGTCTCAAAAACAAACCAAAACAGAATCCTCATCTGGATTAACACAAATCTGGTTGATGACACATGGTCAAACCTAGGTCCCCCAGTTACAGGAATGTGTGATGGTTTGGAGAAGAAACTTAAAGACAGCCTATGGCAAACTGAGCCCGAATTCCCTTGAGAACAAGTAGCACAGTTCACCTGCTGAGCAAGGGCAGGCTCCCTTTGGGTTCTGGCCTTGAAACAGGTGACCGTGTCCAAATCTGGCTTGAATTCCAGTTCTGCTATTCTCTGGGGCATGACCAGGAACCCCGCCTGGGGGTTCCCAGGGTTCATTTCCCTCATCTAACCCATGAGGGAAGGGAGAGGAGGGGATCACTAAGTGTTTGTACATCCTCTCCCTCCCTCCCTCAATCCCTCCAGCCTGCACCAATGTTTCATGATTCCCTCATTTAAGCGTTCAGTGACATCGGACTAAGCTGACATGTCTCACCTTGTTAAGGCTGCCCAGAGAAGCAAGAAGACCTCTAGGAACAGTGAAAAGATTGACAGCTGTGCTCAGCTGGAACTAAATTCCTGGCTCTCGGACTCCTGAAGGATATGAAACCCAAGCTGTGATCAGCATTAAGACGAAGGTAGTGCCCACTATCTACAAATGCTTCTTGCATGAGTAATGGTCAATGAAAGCCAGTGGACTGGGGTGCCTTGTGTGCAAAATCCTTCGTGCTGTCACTGCTTTATACCCAACACCACCCATGGGGCCTCAGTGGTCTCTCTAACAGAGACCCAAGGAAAGAAGCTGTTCTAGTTGCTCAGCCGGCTAGCTACCCAGCAAATATCTAGGACAGTATGGAAACCACATGGTTTTCATTCAGGAAATGCTGAGGAGAACGTGGCAGGAAGAAGCATCAGTTCTCCCAGACACATTGGATACACTCGAACATTTCTTCATCTTAAGTTAAGCTTACATTTGCCGGCATGTAGTGGCATGGCATTTGTGGCACAGACATTTCACATGTATTGAAGCCATGCATGAGTATCTGTTTCCATTGTCAAAGACCTGCTCATTTTTAACACTGATACACTTATCAAGGGTTTAAAAGTTAAAAAGAAAAAAATCCAGGCCTTTAATGTCAGCACTTGGGAGGCAGAGGCAGGAAAATCTCTGTTAGTTCAAGGCCAGTTGGTCTACAGAGCAAGTTCCAGGACAGCCAAGGCTACAAAGGCAGTAGTAGCCTATGCAAAGGCTTGGATAGACCAAACAGCATAGAGGTGGAATAAAGAGATCGAAGAGAATCTAAGCAGCTTGGGGATGGTGATGCAGCCACGGTACAGGGACAAGCCAGTGCAGTGGGACCAAACAGGAGAAGGAGGAGAAGAGGAATGAAAAAAAAATCCCTATAGAGGACAGCAACTAAATGAGTCAGAGACATGCCATCATGTCATTGTTACTGACAATTAATCTCTGTTAGTCTGGCATGCTCTTCTGGTTACAGCTAGGGTGTGTTGAATGAATGAATCAATGAATGAATAAAAACATGGGAAGGAAGTTAGGCTTCCAGAGTGGTTTGAAGATTAAACTGGCTGGAAACTGGTTGCATTAAACTGGCTGGAAAATCTTGATTGTTCCATGAACTTCTCTTGAATCTAGTTTAGCCTCAGAGTAGTTTAGGGACAGATCAGAAAAATGACATTCACGGGCCTTCATCTCAGGCATTCTTCATGCCAAAACAATTACAACTGCTCCACGGCATTGCTAGCTGTTGTTACTGCTAATATATCCTGGGTAGACAGGAACAGAAGAACACCAGAGACTGAAAGGGCCAGGTAAATGAATGGCGTTCACAGACAAGAGTCAGGAAACTGGAAGCTAACCTACCTTAGTACTCAAGTACCTTGAGCTGGGTCATGATTTAATTATTGGGCAAAACTCACTAAAATGCATCCCTCCCTAGGTCCATCAACCTGAAGGTTGGCAGTGCATTCTCTGCAGGTGGCACCCCTCACACATGCCTAAAGAGCGGCAGCAAAACTGGGCTGGGAGACTTGATGCCTGCTTGCCCTGACATCACTACAGAAGAAAGAAGCAGACAGCTGAGGAGTGAATTCCTGAGCTTTGGAGGAATTATCCACTCAGGCCTCACAGTGATGCCCTGATGTAGTATACTCAACTCTGTTTTACAAGGGAGGGGACTGAGGTTTAGTGAGTGACTGCTGTTGTTTCAGGCACTGGGATTGAACCTAGGCCTTGGGCCATGCTAAACAGGTCTCTGTGGCTAAGCTCCAAACTGCATCATCCCCCTGTCCCGCCCCCACATCTAAGAGAGGTTAAATAGTTCCTATGAGGCAAAGCTGGGATGGAAACTTAGAACCCCAACCTAGTGT